ATCAAGAGTTAATTCAATTTGTTACTCTCCTGATGGTAATACATTAGCATCTTGTAGTTGGGATAAGTCTATCCGTTTATGGGATGCTAAGACAGGATACTAAAAAGTCAAATTAGATGGTCATTCATCAACAGTTTATTCAGTCAATTTTTCCCCTGATGGAAATACATTAGCATCTGATAGTTCAGATAACTTTATCCATTTATGGGATGTTAAGACAGGATAATATAAAGTCAAATTAGATGGTCATTTTGAAACAGTTTTTTCAATTTGTTACTCTCCTGATGGTACTACATTAGCATCTGGTAGTTCAGATATCCGTTTATGGGATGTTAATACAGGATAAAAAAAAGCCAAATTATATGGTCATAAAAATTTGGTATCTTCAATTTGTTACTCTCCTGATGGTGCTACATTAGCTTCTGGTAGTTCAGATAAGTCTATCCGTTTATGGGATGTTAAGACAGGATAGTAAAAAGCCTAATTAGATGGTCATAAAGATACAGTTAATTCAATTTGCTACTCTCCTGATGGTACTACATTAGCATCTGGTAGTTAAGATTACTCTATCCGTTTATGGGATGTTAAGACAGGATAATAAAAAGCCAAATTTGATGGTCATTCATCAACAGTTTATTAAGTCAATTTCTCCCCTGATGGAAATACATTAGCATCTGATAGTGATGATAACTCTATCCGTTTATGGAATGTAAAAACTTCAAAGGACATACTTCAATCAGATAGTAGCTATAAAGATTTGCTTGCATAGTTTAACATACCACTTCAGAATAGCTCTTTATTGCCAAATGGTATTTATTATTAATTATTATTTAGTTAATCCTTATTGTACTATACTTAAAATATGTTAGATTCCTTTGTTAGAAGCATCAGAAACACTTATCTTATAAGGAAATTTTATAAATCATTAAGGGATAGATTTAAAACCATTGTTTAAATCCAAAGAAAGTTACTTTTTAGAAGACTTAAAGCAAAAGCAAAAGTGAATTTGAATATTCATTAAAAACATTACAATTACAATTTCAATACCTTTTGTTTTTTGTTTCAATTATTTGATCTTCATTTCTCAAGATAGATAATTAAATGTTTTCAAGCAAGTGATTACACCATTTAACTTAATATTATTAAAATATTTAGTATTTATGAGATGTCATCAACAACTGGTATTAATTAATATGTATCACACGTTTAGTCCTAATAAAGATTATGAATAGTTTAAAAGGTAAAGATAAAATAAATAACAAAGATAGAAGAAAGATATATTTCAAAAAAAAAAAAAGTCTTAAACTTTGGGATTGAATGATTTTTAAGATTACTCTACTCTAATCTTGGTCATATTGTTATGTTATTTATTATTTTCAATTAATATTAGAAGTATTAGGAACTATGTAATCTTACCTCAAAGAGACTTTTTTTAGAAATTAATTAATATCTACACCAGTTTAATGTTATTAATTCATTATGAAAATAAAAAATTACCCAAGATTGGATTTTATAAACATAATGGATAACGTTAAAAATAACAAAATTAATCTTCTCTATAACTTTAGGTTTAACCCAATATTATAACCTATATTATGTAGATTATCTCACATTTTATATTCTCTCAAAAAAGAATTTAACGATATGAAATACATCCTGACTGAAGAGCATGTTTCAATTCCTGAAAAGAAGATCATTTAGAAATCCAAGGTGGTCAAAGTTAATGGAACCAGAGCAGTATTGACCAAAGCTTTCAGACATTCTGCTTTGAATATCCAAGAAACATAATTATAGGTGTTATCATAGGTTATAAATTCAAGAGAATATCCTTGAAGAAAAGATCATCAAAAATATTAAATGCCTACCAACCATCACCAGAAATGAGGCTGAAGAAAAGAATATCTTAACATTCCAAGGAAACGATTTGATATTTTACACTTATTCATTAAGCTTGTGCTGTTAGGTTATTTCACAATTCTTGGATGGAAACAATCTTAGTGAAAAGCGTTTAGAAGGTAGGTAAAATAAAATTTTCATTATTCAAGCTTCTGAATCTCTTTTTGATTCCCTTAAGGATATTAAATCGTTTCTCTCCAATTTACTTCAAATGCATGCTTTTTGCGCTATCCTTTTTCTAAACTATTTTTCTATGATTTTGTTTGACTTGATCCCCATACTTGATTCATTGAAATTTATTAATATTTACTCGAGCATTATTTGAATTTGATTAGTAAAAAATACATTTATAAAGTATTCTTGATTAATTGAAAATAAACTGTAATAATAACTTTATTTCCCTGAAAAATGAAAGGCATTAGATCAAATATGAAGAAATAATCATAATTCTCAGTGAATAATTCTTCTTATTAAAGTCTATTTCGTTAACATTTTACATCACAGAAGCGATAAATTTCAATTGAGTTTTATCTTTAAAGAATTCTAAACAATTCGTTATTTTCTTATTTCTCAGCATCTAAAGTAATTAATTAAGGTCGGATCCTTCAAAGTTCTTAGTCTAAGTCAATACCTAATACAAATCTTCCCTTCTGTTATAAACTTATATTATTTCTTTTAATTATTGAATATTTTCTTATTAATTACTTACCTTCTGTTCTATTAATTGCATAATCCCTTTTAATTCTGTATTTAACTTTTCACAAAAAGGCTCAGTTTCTTTGTCATTTCCAGTATTTGACAATCTCTAGGAATATCATTGTTTTGAAAGATATTCATATAGAATTTATCTTGCATTTCAAGTCTGGTTTATTCGTTTATTGATTCAGATAACTCCTTCCAAATTTATTTTAACTTAATTAGCTAATTGAAAGCATATTAAATTTTTGGGAAAATATTAGAAAGAAATAATGTTAATGATAATTAAATGATTTTATATGCATATATAATCACAAATTTCATGTCAAAAACATATAAGCTGAAAAGTAAAATGTCATTAACAGCCCAATATTAGTTGATTGTGGAGTGCTATTTTAACTTTAATTATTTTGATTATCAATAACAACATTTTTCTTACATAATTCACATTTATTAGTTTGAGCATTCCAGGTATATGTGTAACTTGTTGTAACAAAACAGTTTGAATATGTTAATGTTGCTGGATCAACTGCCTAACAAAGGCCATTTATTTCAGAACAAAATTATTGACTTGTTTTATTCCAATTAAGAAGATTGGTGCATACTTGATTTGTTAACTTATAGGTTTCACATGTATGAGGAGAGCATTTACTTGGAGTCTATTCACTTTTAGGAGTCCATGCACATTTATCTTTAGCTTTTTCACATGCTATTTATGATGAAGAAGCGCTTACACAGGAAACCATCAAAGCACATGAACCATCTCCTATTTTTGCATCTTTAGCAACTGATTATGTGAAGATACAAATTCCATCTAAACCACCATAATTGCATCCTGTTATAGTTTTGTAATCAGAACACTTACTTTGAGCAATACATTAATTTCCGTCTGAAATACAGGTGGATAGGTTCTGTTGACATATTGCTGCTGTCTATCCATTTGAAATATCTGAGCATAATTTAACTCTACACAAAGCTTTGTTGTTATTTGAAGCTGAAGCAGCTTCCCAAAAACAAATGCCATCAGTTCCTACAGCATTTTAGCAAATACTTTGTGTTTAGAATGTTGAACATTTATCTTAAGCTATACATTTTTATCCATTTGATGTACATTTAGATAACTACTGTTTACAAGTTTAATGACTTGTACCTTCTAAATCTTCGCAAGTCTGATCTCTACATTAAGTTTTATCCCAAATGCATATTCCTGTGGATATTACTTATCCATTTTCTTTGATTTAACCTTTATCATTTAAAAAACAATTCTGATTTAGTTTATAATTTGAACATACTCCCAGTGTCATACAACGATTTGATCCATCTGTTGTACATTACTTATTTGATTTATTACATTGATCATGTGTTGAATAATAAATATCTTCGCAAGTAGTAAATAATTTACATATTTCTGGGCCAGCTGTATTAGTCGATGGGAAACTTTGAGCACATAAACCATCTATCCCTTNATTAAAAGTATTAGAGAGAATAAAGGACTGAAAAGATATATTAATCATCAATAAATATTTCAACCATAATAGGATTTAGAGATCTTAATTATATCCATCCCTAACAATAATCTTAAATAAGTTCTATCTGAATTACATTCAAAAAGGAGCTACTTTCAATAATAATTTTGCATATAAGGAACAGTTATTAATCATTAAGATAAGAACTATGTAATTTTACCTCAAGCTGATTTTTTTTAGAAATTAATTATTATCTACACAACAATAATATCAGTCAACTAGTTCAATTTTATTAATTGTTTTATAAAATTACCCAAAATTGCATTTCATAAACATAATGGATAATGTTAAAAAATAACAAAATTGTTCTTCTCTCTAACCATGAGTTTAACCCTATTAAACGATAATTTTTTTAGAATTTAACTAAAATTATAGATTTTACATAAATGTATTATTTTCTCTTAAAAAGTTTTAATGCTATGTTATTGATAGATACTAGTTAGTATATTTTCATTATTCCAAAACATATATTTAATAATAAATCGAGACATATAACTCTATATAAAGAGAGGCAGTGCAGGATATATAAAATGAAAATATTTCTAAGCTAATGTTTATAAAGTAAATAATAATTATAAGAGTTTGATATGCACGCTAATGAAAAAGAATAAGCTTAAGTTGAATTATCAACGCGTTCATTGGCAGGTATATAATAAATGGTTCTAGCAATGAGAGAAGAAATATCTATTATAAGATTTGAATGCCTGTTTTACAGATAAAATATGGTTTGATATAATATCATCATTTATTTTATGCAAAAGGTAAGAAGTAATCATCAAATATAATTTTATGTTCTCTGTTAAAGATTTACAAGGATTAGCTTATTAAATTAATATGAGAGGATTGATTTATTAACAAGAGGGTTATATTTCTTTACCCCATATCAAAAGATTCTTGATAATATACCTAAATTTTAATCTTTTTATTGCTTCCCAATTAGCTCTTAGATAAAAATTTAATATTCAAGTCCCATTTATTTATAATCAATCTCCCTCCAGTCGACTTTCCTGAATTGATCTGCAAAGGTCCATTTTGGAAATTCGATTAGATGTTCTTACATTACCAATCTCAGATGTGTTCTTATTTAGTGATATTATCCTCATTACTATTATAGAAGTGTCTTTACTCTATTTTTTGCTTATGGTCTGAGATCATGGCCATCAATAACTTTCCAAAGTTTTATTTTAACTCAGCTGCTATGATATTAGGCTATTTCTTAAGTGTCACAATTCTTATACTCCTCCTTTATTTCAGTGTAATGTAGGTTCCCAATATGAATTTATTTATTACTTTTGAATTTTTGGTTTATATGCCATCATTTCTCCCTATTATTTACTCCATAATTCCAACTATGAGTTTCTTCCCATCTTTCTTTTTGCAAAAGCCTCTAGAATATGATTGGGATGACTTTTCATGGAATTACTCAATATATGACATTTTTTAGTGAGGTAAAGTCGCACTGTTCAATAAGTTAATTTGCATTATTCTTTTTAAATTCATGTATTCTATTTCCAAAGTAGCTCTTTTGGATATAAAATTAGAGATATTTAGGTTTATTCATCTTACATCCTTGGATAAACTCAACCCTTTGTGTAGGGCTTATCATATGCCAGTTTAACAAACCCCTTACTATTGTTAATTAGCTAATACGATACTTTTTGATAAAGTAATTTATACAATAATATTAATAATTATTTTTCAATGGGTTGTGCAAGCAGTCAAGCAATTTAATAAGAATAATATGCTTATGAACATAAGGATGATGTGTATAAGGTATTGGCTTCATCAAAACTTATTGATGAATAATTACTCAAGAGGATAATTACTGTTTTCAAAAAGGAGAAAATCACAAATTGTCTAGATTTTCTTTCAAAAGAATGTAAACTAAAAAAATAGGAATAATCTAACATTAAGTTTATAACCGATCTTATGAAAAATTTATCTGAGCTCGATTTTTGCAAAGAAAATATTTCTGCCGATGATTAGTAAAAACAGAGAGAGGATCTAATCACATAAATATCTGATGATAAAAAAATCATTGAATTTTTAAAATTTCTTGTTTTACTTACAGCTTTAGATGAGAAATTTATATAATGTGGATCCAATTCCCTCAAATTATTAATTGAAATGAGGATAGATTTGAAGTAACAAAACTTTGAAAATATCAACATTCAAAATACTTCATTGATTGGCGGAAATTTTGCGAGTTGTAATTTGAATGGATCTGTATTGAATAACGTCGACATAAGCGGCGTAAATTTAAATTGTGCTTAGATGTTTAATTGTTAATGGAAGAATCTTAAGATTAACGAATTAAAAATGTTAAACGGTCATCAAAGTGGAGTCCTATCTGTTTGCTTCTCTCCTGATGGTTCTATATTAGCTTCTGGTGGTTATGATTGCGATATTCGTTTATGGGATGTTAAGACAGGATAATAAAAAGCCATATTAGATGGTCATTCACATTGGGTTGATTCAGTCAATTTCTCTCCTGATGGTACTACATTAGCATCATGTAGTTGGGATAAGTCTATCCGTTTATGGGATGTTAGGACAGGATAATAAAAAGCCAAATTAGATGGTCATTCAGATTATGTAAGAACAATTTGTTACTCTCCTGATGGTACTACATTAGCATCTGGTAGCGATGATAAATCAATCTGTTTATGGGATACTAAGACAGGATTACAAAAGATCAAATTAGATGGTTTGAGTGATGAAATCTGCTCAATCTGCTTCTCTCCAGATGGACTTATATTAGCTGCTGGTACTGGAAGCATATTAAGTCATGATAATTCTATCATTTTATGGGACGCGAAGACAGGATAATAAAAAGTTAAGTTTTGTGGACATTAAAGCGCTGTCAAATCTATATGCTTTTCTCCTGATGGAACTATGATCGCATCTGGGAGTGCAGATAAGTCTATCATTTTGTGGGATATTTTGACCGGAATACAGTTAACAAAATTTAAGGGTATTGATGAAGTGGATACAATCTCTTTCTCTCCTGATGGAACATTATTAGCAACTGGAATGAATTCATACATTTATTTATGGGATGTTAGGACTGGACAATAAAAAGCTATTTTTTCTGGTCATTCTTATTGTGTATCTTCTGTCTGCTTCTCTCCTGATGACACTATTTTAGCATCTGGGAGTGTAGATAATTCTATCCGTTTATGGGATTTTAGGGCTGGATAATCGGAGGCTAAATTTGATGGTCATAGTAAGGCTGTAAACACAGTTTGCTTCTCACCTGAAGGTACACTATTAGCATCAGGTAGTGATGATAAATCAATCCGTTTATGGGATGTTAAGACAGGACAATAAAAGGCCAAGTTAAATGGTCATAATAGCTGGGTCTTGTAAGTGTGCTTCTCTCCTGATGGTACCATTTTAGCATCTGCCAGTCATGATTAATCAATCCTTTTATGGGATGTTAAGACAGGATAAAAGAATGCTTAATTAATTGGACATAATGCTTAAGTCAACACGGTATGTTTTTCACCTGATGGTACAACATTAGCATCTGGTAGTGGATATGAATGTGTAAAAAGTGATGAATACTCTATCCGTTTATGGGATGTTGAGACAAAACGATAAAAGGCTTAGTTATTTGGTCATGATAGTACTATCTTGTAAGTATGCTTCTCTCCTGATGGTGCACTATTAGCATCTGGTAGTCATGATGAATCAATCCGTATATGGGATATTTAGACGGGACAATAAAAGATCAAGCTAGATGGTCATACAGGTTGGGTCTACTCAATATGTTTCTCTCCTGATAGTACTACTTTAGCATCTTGTAGTTCTGATCAATCTATCTTTTTATGGGATATTGTGACGGGACAATAAAAGGTTTAGTTATTTGGTCATTCAAAAGAAATTTTATCAGTCAACTTCTCTCCTGACGGAAATACAGTCGCATCTGCTAGTTATGATAAGTCTGTCCTTTTATGGAATGTTAAGACTGGAAAATAAAAGGCCCAGTTAGATGGCCATCTCGGAGAGGTTAATTCAATTTGCTTCTCTCCTGACGGTACTACTTTAGCGTCTTGCAGTGCAGATCGCTCTCTCCGTTTATGGGATGTTAAGACAGAACTATAGAGGGCCAAATAAGAGCTCCAACCAGTGCTACTTATAATATTACAACACTTGTTATCTCTTCAAATAAAATTTTAGAAGCATAAGGCTCTTTAATTCTGAAAGGAGAATTTGTCAACTATTAAGGAGTAGAATTACTACCATTATTCAAACCTAAAGGAAGTTGTATTTTGGAATGTTAATGAATAGAAATGAAGCTAATAGTTGATTATTATAAACTATAAAATAAGCACCTATTTTCATTCGCTTTTTCCCCCATAGAAGATTTAAGCACAATTTTTCTTTTTATTATTTGGATTTCCAAAATTAAAGTCATTTTTTTCATTTTTCTGTATTTTTAAATATCTTACTCAAAATTGTGATTATTATATTAAGATATTATATTATAAATATAAATTGAGAAGTTTTTAATTTCCTTAAAAATTCTGAAACCTAGATTTTTTATTCTAAATTTTAAGAATTCAATTATGCATAAGGTTATGTGAGTACCCCTTGTACAATTTACATCAATTCCAAAGCACTAAATCGCTAATCTATCTTTCATAACATTTAGTCTAAGATACTTTTGGATTGTAATATAAAACTCAAAATAAAGTAATAGAAATTCAATAATATTTGTAAAAAAGGGAAATGCACCACGAAAAAGAGTAAGTAGGAGTGTTGTATGAGGTTTTGTCCTTATCAAAAGAGGTTGATGAAGTATTCCTCCCTATCCTCATAAACATATTAAAAAAAGAGAGAATTTAAGACTGCCTAAAATTTCTCTAATAAGATCAAAACAAATTCCTTTTAGAAATAGAAAGTTAAAAGGTAGA